CACCGAAAGGCATAGTATAGGCCAGATAGGCATCCAATCACGCCTGCCATACTTTATGAAGATGTGTGATGAAGCTTGGAGTTTCTGCATCTCTCAGCGATTGATTGATGCTCAACGTATGATTCCTTATTATCTGTCACCTCGTGATTTACGACGGTTTTAAGTGTCAATCTACGATCAGCAGCGACGGCTCATTACAAAGCATGTTACCCTATCTGAGAAGCTGTTGAACATTACTATTCGGTATCACAGCTTGAAGCAAGCAAACGTCATGGCTCAAAGAGACCTATGGCCGTATTCTAGAAATAGTAACAAAATAAATAGCTGATTATCAAATTTAATGCTCCGAGATCAGTGGCACGTCAGGATCGATAGAGAATTTAATGGGCCCCGAATGAGCTGCTCGTTGATTTACGGGATTATGAGCGCAGCAGGTGGTCATCTGGATACAAATGAAGGAGCATTAGGATGCTAACATAATATTATGGTACACAAAATTTGATTGAAGAGATATTAGACATGGGATTCACAAAATCAAAACAACGAAGATTACAATAATTAAGGCAACGCTAATGACTCGAGGCAGGGAAGAGTTTTTTTTTACAATACAACTATTTTAATAACTTTTGAACCTTAAGAAGTACCTAAAAGCAAACTAAGTACATCTTGTTTCGCCTAATTAACTACTTCTGGCCATAAAATTTGAGCATGAAGAGAAAGAAGAGAAAAAGTGCTTACTAGCGTTTACTTATGAGAATACAATATGAAATATAGTGTCATTTTGACCAGGCAATAAAATTATCTACAATTTACAACAAGCTTTGTAAAATTTAAGAAGTCATTCTTCAAGTATGAGTCCTCTTCAATTCCTGAAAATTCACTCGCAAGCGTCAACAAAATTCTCATATACTTAAAAACCTAAATGATTAAACAGGTTTTACTTGCCAGACCAAAATATAAGATTGTTAGAGATCTTTCTCAAGTTTTCATGAAACGTTAATATTCTTTCATATGTGGATAATAAGCTCTAAAAGTGAACAAGTAAAAAGATCACCGTCGCTAAAACACGACTCCATTTTGTAGATGTTGTCACAGAAAAGAGTAAATCAACATGCGGTTTGGGAAAACTGCGATAAATTATTCAGTGACCTCTCCCGGTAGTCAACACAAGTGTAATTTGATGCTGTGTGCGACGAAGCTCGTGTTTGTCTGCCTCTCTACGATCACGACCGAGACGATTTCAGCCGCGATTTGTTTTACTTCCACGGGTTATCTGACACCAACCCTATGCGCGACAGTTTATCACAGTTCCGTCGGGAAGAAAAGGGAAAAGTGGCTCTGCTACACCTTTTGACGTTCTTGAAAGGGGTTTAAATGCATGCTAACGCCGCAAACATTTCCGTGAGGTGTGAATAGGCTAATCGAGTGACCCATGAATACATTGAATAAAGTTCCGTCCGTCCTCAAAATCTGCAAATAGGTCTTTCAATTCCGAGATGATGGCACAGAGGGTGATCACAGAGTGTTATCCATCCAAATGCCAATCAGTTTTATAAAGTCAATAACTGAGGATGAAGCTCGATGAAAAGGCAGGTTTATCACTATGACAGCAAACTGAAAATGGAAATGATTACGCTTTTCGCAGGAAGTTATTGGCAGTAAAGCCTATCACAAGAACTCGCTTTTGTGTTTTTCACCTTGAAAATGAAGCAAGCCAGACCGTTATGCATTGCATGGTTATCTTGGCACCGAAAGCAACAAAAATAAAGATATTCTGATGAATGTTTGATGATCTGCGCGTTCTATATCGAGCGAAGACTACTGAAACCATCTTGAGCGAGCGACAGGTTTTAATGACATATAAACCTAGTTTGACAGTTGGAACAAGACGAAAAAGAAAAGTCGTATAAAATCATGTTGTGAAAAACGTTGGTTCTCAACCACTTGCCTCCAAAGTAAGAGGACTTATGATAAATGGAGGGCAATTAGTTGCACACAAACACGTCGACTCCGAAAAAACATTCATCTGGTTGAACCATTCACAAGTTGTGCAAATGATTTGAAGGTTTGGCGATCAATTCTTCAAAATAGTTAGGGCAGCAACACAGCGAATAGCCGGGTGAACGATCCCTGGTTATTTCCAAAAAACAGCATATCAATAATGGAGCCTGCTACGTAATATGATAATAAAAGAGAGGCCAATGATTATAAACAAAAAAAAGCTACGTGTCATGTTGTAGTACCGAATCAGAAAAACTCATGGTGTTCCTGCGAAGCAGCTCTCAAATTGTCTTTTGATATGAATTCGAAGCATATTCAAAGCTTGTTCTAATAATATAAAAAGCCGACTTTACTAAAGTCGTCCATGAATAGTCAGTGTATCTTACGAGCTATTCTTGTTTGAGCTTGCTCAAAGTTGGTATCTTTTGTTATCAAAATCGATGACCGACGTTCTGGTGATTTAGTCTTACTCAGAGATTAACCCTTTGGAAGTTCCTAATGCGTGACAATACACCAGTGACTTTTTTCATGTACGGAGTTAAACGGTTCTAAGGACGGCAAGATTGGCGAAGTAATAGCCATCGTTTTTGAAGAAGATGTACTTACCTCGCGCAAAATCAATTAAATACTGTTTATAACATGATATGATCTGATAAACTGATAATGCAATATGTTGTTTCGAACGGCTTTGGAATGGTATAGTAAAGTAGAAGTATGAAAGCGAAACCGAATATCATGAAGAGCCATATAGAAGACGTCAATTCATTGGGCGAACGACTCATTATGAATAGTGCCGCTCTCGCCGCGTTTTTGTTCACTGGAAAGTTAATTCACATTTGTGGACGTGGTTCTCGTTGTTGTTCAAGATAATAGTACATGGAAAAGAAGGAATCGAGAAAGCGAAGGTGAAACCAGGGTGAAAACCTTATTGTGACTATTACGCTGTGTTAGACAAGAACAACTTGTAGCCGGAAATGGGAAGATGTACAATACAGCACAGCTATTACTCAAACACTCAGAGCAATTGAGAAGCTCACAAGCAGCTATTTTCATCTTAGCTCAATATTTGAAGACTTTGTGCTCTTTGTGAGCCTATAGAAAACAGTTAGTACACGTGCTCTGTTTAATCCAATAAGATATTTTAAGCCGTTTAAATTTTCGGTACTTTATCTCCTACTATCAGTGTTGAACGTATGTTTCGGTGTTCTCGCACACCTCATCAGTAGCACATGCTAAGGGCAGAGGCGCCGAAGATGTATCACTACAATCAAGTGAAAAGATTAATTGATACTGCAGTCTACAATGATATTCAGTCGATTGTTTACAGCTGGTAAAAACGCATATAGCAATACTTTTTTAATCGACTGCTTTGAGACCTCGCTCAACACCCAATATAATGTGATAGAATATTTTGATAAGGACATGTGATTTCGTCAAGTGTTTTTCGACTTCGCGTGAACATTCTAGGAAACCGCAGACTTCCAATGATACAGTCACTTTTATTCGCTTGCTTGACCTTGTGTTACGATCATTTACGATCGTAGCTCTTCAATTTGCAATCTTCGCCGTCATTCGTGGTTTTCACAAAAACTTGTACTTATCCTCTGGAGTGCTCTTGTAGATCGCTGTTTTCTTTCAAGTCGCTACTATTCGCAGATACAAAGTGGATCTCCACACATATTGGTGGACAGAAGGGCACATGTAATCGAAAGGTATTGCAAATTGAACGAGATATGGTCTACGTTACAACGGTGACAGTGCTGAGGCATATCTTTTGTTCAGTGCTCAATCCTCTCAAATGCTCTACTTTGACTCATAATTTATCTAATTGTCAGCAGAACTTGAAGTGATCAGATCGAATCGTTTGCTCATAAGAAAGAAAAGAACTTTGCGCACGGATACTTTATCGATTCTTGAAGAAAGAAAATCTTTTGAAACTCATGAACGTTATTTAACCGTCGAGATTATTTTTCTTACAGTGAATCGTCGACTTGAATGGCGCAGAAGGCTCTTCAAATCTAAACATTCAATATTACAAGTAATATGAGCAATGTAATACTTTCCTCCTAGACATAGAGTCAAAGAGAGATAAAAGACAGGTATTCAGCAGGAGTTGAGAACAGAATAACTTTCTTACCTACATATAACGATGCTGAATACGTCAAAACATAGTTTGGCTTTTGCCACGACACATATAGAAGGTGTCAGAGCGCAGTGGTATGGTATTTACTTATATCGCACCTGGTCACTGCTCCGATCCTGCAGTAGGTATTTCCACTCTCTGGATTCGGAAAATTGCTAACAGACTTGGAAGTGACAAATTACCTTCGGTCCTCAAAGCCAGGTTATAATTTGTAATAATGAGTTTTGAACAATGTAGTGGTGTTGTCCCAGAGGTTCAAGGAAAATCAACCCGATCAGTATTCAACGACATTTACGAAGACAACATAGACCTCATGTGGCAATCAATTCATCACACAAATCCGAAGACCTTCGTGAATGATGGACGTGAGACGACAAATTGATTGAAATAAATTTCAGGATTCCCATATATGAAATGTCCATAAATCTAACAAAAATCAAAAAACATGATCTGAAAAGTTGGGGAGGCATTTTTTAACTCTGACTTTTTCATGAGTACACTTGTTTCGTGGATCGACCTACCAGACCACGCATTATTTTTCTGCTCTTATGTAGTTACTAATTTTTTGACCAACTTCCGAAGTTGTTGCAACTGTTACCACTAGAAGATGATATGTTCGAGAAACAACTGAAACAACACGACATGTTCGAAGATCTTTGGGACGATTGATGAGGAGAAGCGATGAAATACAGAAAATGCTGGGATCCGCACAACGAAAAAGTGATCACGTGTCCGTGTAAAAATTAATAAATAATGCCTTAGAGAACAAACTCTTACATCATTAGTACGAATTTATGAGAGTTATGAATAAAGTACGTATTCATACTATAAGAATTGAGTGGTGAGCAAAAAACGCGGCTTCAGTGGGGAATCGAACCCGCGTTTCATCCATGCTGGGGACGCGTGCTAATACCACTACACCACCTCGGACCATTTGCGCCACCACTCATTCTTCAACATCTCTTTGTTCGCTATCAGCCACCAACTTCTAAGAAATTTGGTCGGGTACGCGATCTTGCTTTATAAACACAGTTGAGATGACATCCATTTGATTAACATTTTAAGCCACTTTAACTATATGTATTTCTTGACATTATTTGACATGAATTAGGTAGAGCTGATGTGTGATAGGTCCATTAGACGAAAAATACGTTTGGTGGAAACGCATCGATGGAATGCGCACTGTGTACATTTCCACTATTTGTACATACTGTAAACCAATCTGTACAAGTTTTCACACTGATTTTCCACTCCATTGTAATGGCACACACTGGTCATAACTTGCGAACATAGGTGTACGAGTACAGTACAGATACTAGTTTATGCCACAGAATTAAAATCGAGCTGATAGAGAGGACAAAAAGGTCAAGATGCAAAGCCGAACCACGTGTTATTGCACTGTATTAGTGCCCATAACAGACCACATGCATGGCTACAAAATAACTTTCAGACAAAAAGGTCTTTGTAAATCATTAAGTTTTGAGCTATTCTCAGTCGATGGCTTCACACCCCGTGAAATGAATAAAAAGAATATTGCAATGAAAACATACACGCAAAGTAATCGTGCATGTTCTGAGTGATGTGTGATTCATGTTAATAACAATGTCTTCAAAAAATTTTCGGCATCCTTCTGCTAGTTTTCTTGCCACAATGGAGAACTAAACAAAGAGCATTATGTTTGAAACAAAGCAGATGATATAATATAGAAAATATAGCAACAGAACTGAATTTTAACAGAATTATTCAAAACATCACTGCTGCCTGCTTTCATACAGAGTGTGAAAACTCTGCATTGTGTCATTTTCGTAACTATCCTTTGTGTATTTCACTGAACCTGTTTGTTTATTCATTAGGAATTATTAATGCTACAAAACTTCATCACTATTTCAAGGAGAATTCAAATTGTAGAAGACGGCAGATGCCCACACAGCAATCGACCAAACGTCCGAACCAAATAGCTTCATGAGTAACAATTGTAAAACAACGAATCTAATGCAGAGAGTTGGGGCACCATAATATCTGTGAAGAGAAAACGTGAACGGAAAGTAATAGGCGTTCGGTGCTACTCAATTTTCAGGAGATACGTCATGTATTTTACTTCGTTAAGTAATATCTTTTGCACTTTCGTGACTACGTCTAGTTTAAGTTTTGTTGCGAAATCTACAACGCTTAATTTTTCGCTATTTATCCCGTCACACCTGTTGATGTCACGCTGGCCATTCCAGCGTTCTTTATGCACCTCTGCTGCTTTTATTGCGATTTCCGTTGGATTGTCCATTTTTACCTGCATTCTGGATAAAGTTCTGTCTTTGTCCTATCTCTTGCAGGCTCCATGATTTTCTGTACACCTTACTATTTTTTTGAATGCAATTGTTGAAAGAACTCGTCCTCCACGCAACCATGCTTCTGTCAGGATTCAATGAGGCTGTACTATGCAAAGAATACTACAATACTTATTTTGTGATATAACCTCTCGAACGCATGTGGCGCAGTGGTTAGAGGTGCTCTGCGTCGCACATGAGGTCAATGCTTTGATCTCGCGCTCATGGCTCACCAAGCCATCCATCCCTCCGAGGTCGGTGAAGTGGTACCAGACTAGTCTAAGAATTGTTTGGGAAAATAAGCAGCACTGGCTCGGTTTAGCGGGAGGCCACCGCGAGTCATTGTAAAGCCAGATATGCATTCAACCACCTCAAACGAAGTTAGAAATTGAAAACGAATGCATGGCGCATCCCTCAGGGAATGATCAACGCCAGGAGCTCTATCATTTCTCCTTTTATGATCTCTCATTCCAAACCATGTCCAAAGGCCATCATAGCTAATGAAAAATAAATAACAACGAACTGTTTGTTATGATAGCGCTACACACTGTATGCGATGACAGTTCAGCAATTTTTTATGAGCACGTCCTTTTCATTGGTGAGTGGCTACCGCAGTATCTGCGTTGTATAACTTCCGTGAAGAATAAAGCAGTGAAAAATATGACACAAGTATTTTATTTTTGAGCTACTTAAACAACATTATTACACCCATAAGTGTAAATTATAGCGATCTGTATACAACTCAGTTAGTCCTTTTATCCTCTCCAACATGTCTCGTACCAATTTTTAGACGAGGGGGATCAAAGATCAATCAGATGATCGGTTTTTTTACACGGGTTTATAGTGTTGAAGCAGTAATCACGTGTTCATTGCAGGAAGCCTCTAACCACTGCGATACAAGCCTCCCCAAGACGAGCAGACTAATGTGTTTTTAATATGCCTGAGAATTACTTTTGACCCAAGGCATGTCAGTGCTCCGTTAAATGGGCTGACTTATAGAGCCCGATACACGTGTTTTGACCTTGCGGTCTCGTCAGACGAGCAGTTACCCTTTCGTCTTTTACCAGTCCAGCGTGGGTGCTCCAGCCTCCACATTAAGAGTTAGCGACGACGAACATTTTACACTCCTTGTTCAGTGAAATTTTCACCAAACATAGAGTGTTGTACACTCGATTGCTCTTGGCTAGTATATTTGATTTATCGTATCTTCCGTTTCGACTGCTTTCGTGGGACTGGAGCACCTACACAGGACTATAAAATAAGGCGAAAGGGTAAGTGCCCGACTGACGACAGCACAAGATCGAAACATATAAGTCATCCCATTTAACAGACCACTGACATGCGTGGCTCACAAATAATTATCAGGCATATTGAAATTTGAGCTGAGGTCTTGACAAAGCACTCAAAACGAAAAATATATAAGTTTTTATCTAAGTGTCTACAGTTTACATTAACCTAAGGTTCTAATTTAGAAGCCCCTTACTATGATACCTCACCCTGTCCTAACCGACAAGTGTTTCATTTGACAACCTACAATCAAACTCATTTCAAAAACATGGACTTTCAATGGATCTGCCAATCATTCCCTCTAAAAGACTGAGCGTAAGTGTAGAATAACAATGACCGCTTCAGTGACCTTCGGTCACACACCTCGCAGGAAATGTCACATAGAACTACATAGAACGAGAAGATGCAAAATCCGTTTTCTCTCGAAGAGCATTACAGTTGATGGGGTAATCTACAATGAGGCTTTCCGTTTTTAAGACAACTGTTACTAGAATAGTGTAGATTGTAATGAAATGTATCACGTGTCAGCATAATAGAAACAAGTAAATTCAAAGTGTTTCATAAGAGAAACGGTTGATTTCCTCTATTGAGAAAAATTGAAAAGCCATTTCAATAGTTTAAAAAAAGGATTTAATTTCCATTAATATATTGGCTACACAGAAAATGAAGCACTAGAGTCTTCAGAGGAGGAAATTGCATGAAACACTTATTCATTGAAGATTGAAGCAGAAGACACTAAAAGTAGAAACGGTGCTGTTTACTGGAATTTATGTGAGTTTGGCTGAAATTAGTATTTATATTAGGAGTCCACTTTTTGTGCATCCATTACCAGATTTTCTCCATTTCTATGAAAAATCTTTGAATTTTGCCCTGTTTACGCTTAGGCAACGATCAATCAAGACGTTCTCATATATCAAGATTCCTTACTATATGACTTGTTCCTCTTATCCTTCCTAATTTATAGCTCTTACAGGCATTTCTGGTACTGAAATTAACTTAAAGAAACATTCAAAGGTGTCGTTCAGTGTGCACGTAATTAGTAGATCCTGAATGGAAAATCTATGAAAAGCAAATAATAAAGGCAGTAAAACAATGAGGATTTGAGCTGCAGCATGCCTGCTTTCTGCATCAATGAAATGTCATGCATTATTTATTTTATGACGCAAATCAGGAACAATGAGCTCGAGAATGGAAAGAGTAATGTTTTTATAGCATTCATTCGAGAGTATGCAAAATCCGTTTCTCTGAAAGTGCTAGATTATTGGAAAAATGATGCTGCACTATTTATTGCTTCACCATCTCTCATGGGACAGTGACCACGTAGGAAAAAACTACCTTTAGGTTACATTTTATTTCTCTAGAATATTCCAAGTGGTCGAAATTCCAAGTTGCGAAATTATTTTATGAGAGGTTACTGCACAAACACATCAAACAGACGCGAAATCTGGCAAACAACCAAATGATTCACGGGGGGCGGAATTGAGTTCGCCTCGATTTAGAGTTTTCGGGAGGAAGAGGTTGTTGAACGAACGCAGTGAAGACGAAAAGCAGTGACTTATGTGCACAACAGACAGCATGTTTTGAAAATGCTACGATTTTTTGAGTAGTGTTCTCCACTCCAAAAAAAAACACATTTAGCTTACAAATTCAATAAAAAAGTGTGGAAAGATGTGCAGTTAAAAACAAACAAAAAATAAACTGTAGAACTCTCTATAAAGTATATTCAACTAAAAACGACTCGCAAATTTATTGAACAGCCAACTCTGGTGATTTAATTTACAAATGGAACTCCCACATGGGCGGCGCCACATTGTTTAACATCATGAATTATCGTTATTTTTAATTATTGGATATTTTTCAACAGACTTCAAGTTGAGAAGGAAAAATAGGGAACATAAAAGTGTTTGTTTATAAAAATTGTGAGATGCAGGTGGTAGTAGTTAATACTTGAAGTTAGTGGGAAGATTGCTAGCATGGCATACAATTGAATATTGTGGACAACAACTTGTTCTTGACTTCAGTATTCTTTTCCCTACAATAGTTATTTTGAAGATTTTTTAGCGCTGGTTGTCGAATGATTGTATATTATGCCTCCTTTCCAACGATTCACCGCATCACCATCACCTTGGAATGTCCCATCTAGTGTGCCTATCTTTCCATCGTTTATTGCATCACCATCCCCATCACAACATTGGTGTGTTCCCTGAAGGATAGTAAGGCACGTCATTGGTTAAGAACGCGATAGGTTTGGCGGGTTGAGTTTAACATTCCATCCGTATATGCAGATAAGAGTAAACTAATGCTAGTGTGAAGCCTGAC